TCTCGACATTTCCTCCCCACTTTTCCTTCTTCTTCTTCTCTATCTCTTCCGTCACCATCTCCTCTCCTCATGCATCCTTCGCCTTCAGGGTCGCTCCACTTGTGTGGTGCTTTGTGTGGTGGTCAGAAGAAGCTTTCAGTCCAGGTTCAGGTTTCAATCCTGACTTAGACTTCACATCTCCTTCTGGGTCATGCTCAGCTCAAGCGTTGTGAAGCTCTCCCCCAGTCCATCCGGCTGAGAGATAGCCAACAACCAAACACTTGACCATGGATGATGAGCAGCAGAAGGAGAAGGCGACCGAGGGCAATCCCGAAGGGATTGTCCGGCAGAGACTAACTCCATCATAGTGAAGCACCAGTAGCAGAGCAAATGAGGGTCCACAACCTTAAAGCCAGCATGACCGGCAGGTAACTGTAGGTGTGCCTGCTCACCCAGCATTGGCATTGGATGAGCTGGCACCAACAAGATAACAAGCACCAAGTGCTTTTCTCTTGTCTTTGTACACCAACAACAGTTGATGTACAAAGCCTTCGTTTTCCTGCATCCCAACACCCGCCCACCCGGTGGTCAGAAGAAGCTTTCAGTCCAGGTTCAGGTTTCAATCCTGACCTAGACTTCACATCTCCTTCTGGGTCATGCTCAGCTCAAGCGTTGTGAGGCTCTCCCCCAGTCCATCCGGACTGAGAGATAGCCAACAACCAACCACTTGACCATGGTGATGAGCAGCAGAAGGAGGCGACCGAGGGCAATCCCGAAGGGATTGGAACCGATACGGGCAACCGCCTCTTTGGAACCATTTCTGCGGACAAGTAGATTGTCAGAGGGCCCATATCTCAAATAACATAGCCTTCTATCAGGTTTGATGGATAACTCTAACAGATGGAATCCTTTATTCTTCCGACTTTTGCCCGTCTTGTGGCTTATTGATCTCAAGTTTGGCCTTTTTCTTTTGCTCCTTGTGCTCTTTTCTTTTCTGCTTCCGAACTCGGGACTTTTCTTCGTAGCCAGGCTTGAGTTTTGCTGCCTCCATAAGCTTTTCTCGAATATTGGCACACTTTTCAGCACTAGCCGGCCCATTCTTCCATGTTTTTGCTAGGTAGGTTTCTCTCATCTTGGGATCGTAGTCGTGCACCTTTTTCATGGTGACCATGCGTCGTCCTAGATCCTGGGTGAATGGTTGAAAGGACAAATGAATCACTGTCAAGCAATCGTGTTGTGGTAAATCCTCGTCCGGATTGAAATCTTTGGCAAAGGAGGGAATGACATAGACCATCCGTCCACCCATGACCAGAGCTCTTGCCGCCACGTCTAGCAAGTCAGCCATGACATCAGCCACGCAGTAGGGTTTTGTTTGGGGGATATGGTCATGTCGATGTTCCTCCGGAATGACACGGGGTTGGTCCAATCGCGATCCTGATTTACGGGCACCTGCTCGAATTCCTTTCAAAGAAGACCAAAACCACAATCCATCAACACCGTGCTTCTTAGAATACTGGTCTTTTTCAGGAGGCAATACATGAATCAAATCTAGCGTACATAGGACAGGACTTACCATACGGCGGATCTGTCACAATCGTATCTACCCATGGTTCCGACGTTCGAAAATGTCGATGATAAATGGCATTGTCACTTCGAATCAACTCGGGCCGGGGCAATTGGAACTGCTGAAAGTTGCTGTAAATGTTTTCCTCTTTTCCCCGCAACACTCGAATGTCAATATCCGTCCCCACACAGTAGGCACCCCGAATGGCACACGACACCAATATGGAACCCGTGCCGACAAAGGGATCGAGCACGACACTGTCCTCTTGTACCTGTCCCAGATTGGCCATGACAAAGCTCAATTCGGCATCCATGGACGTGGGTCCCAGGTAGACTCTGTTTTTCAAATCGTACCGTTCCATCGAGTTCTTGTCGCGTGCCCACAATACACGTCCAAAGTAACATGCCAATGGCAATCGTTGATCGTGTTGTGGGATAATGGTCGTTTGATGTTGTGACTTGTCGTGTTCCTGTTGCAATTGGCCATGTCGTGGATAGAGCGGATTTCCCTGGGTATCCAATTCCATTTCCCGAATGAGTATAAATTCGTGGTCGGGTTGTTTCATTTGAACCTTTCCGGGGAAATCCAAAAATGCGAAATTGGCTCTCATGTCATCGTGTTCTTGTCGCGTGTATTTGGCTCCCAAAGTTTGAATGGTGAGTTTCCAACTTTGTGTGGGTGGATGGCAAATTTCGTGGTAGATTGTGGCTCCAAGAGACGTCTTGTCTTTAATCCATTGTTGGGTGTTTTCTGCCATCTCTGGAATGGTTGTTCCTGGTTTGCCCCAGAGTTCAATCACTCTTCGGACCAAGACACATCGAGACAAAAAGGATGCAATAGTTTTGGTAGACGATGAACCCTTATCCTTCTCTTCTTTTGATGGTTCTGGATCTTTCTGACGTTCCTCTGGTGGTTGTGTATGTTTCTCTGGCCGTAGTTGTGCGTGACTGTTGCCTTTATGATACCATGACGATGGAAACGCCAGCAAGGCAAATGCCCGCTGTGGAGCTGCCTTGGTTTCTTGATGATATCGTTCTTCATTGGGGAGTGGTAGCATGTGACAATAAGATTTACTGTCGTCAATATCCTCTTCTTTTTCTTCTTCTTTGTCATGTTGTTGGATGATCACTCCATTCATTTCCAACACGGATAATAACTCTGGAAGCAGAAAATCCAAGTGTTTGTGGGCAAACTCCACCAAAACGACATACTCAAAGTCCTCTTTCTCATTCTTCTGATCCGACATCTTTGCCAAGTGCTTGAATGTAAGATTGTATCCTGAGTGAGCCCAGGTGTGGCTATAACTCGTCCATCCAGACTTGACTCACTCGAGCTTTGTTTCCTATTAGGAAACGTGGACTTGACTTGAGATACCCCGGCACCGAAAAATGATTGAACGGTTGAATGAATGGCCGTGGACGATGGATCCGATCATTCCGATGGTGTTCCGAAGTTCCCAAAGCAGCGTTGCCAAAGATACGCTGTTAAATCTTTTTGAGTACCCTTGCAGGCAGATCGGCAGATCCAAAAACCTCCTGCTCATCAAAGAACAGACCCATCACATTCTTTCTCGCCCATGCATCACTCTTTCTACTTTCTTCTGTAATAATAACACTCCTTGCTACCGCACTATCCCACCAAACCATCACAAATTCTTGCCTTTTGGATCTAGAGTAGACTATAATACCCTAAAAGGCAAGATAATCAATCGAGAACCATGGTCCGTGTGTGCTTGACCCTGTTGTTGGCGGCGCTGCTCCTCCAAGGATCAGCGGCATGGCAACCCAATGCTCGTCATTATTTGTCCAACTCGGTGGTTCTCCGTCGTCCAGATTCGTTGCTCGTCGTCTTGAAGAACTCCAACACTGCTGTGGATGACGAACAACAAGACAGTTGGACGGAGGAAGGATGGTCGGTGGCCGATGATTGGAATGCGCTGTCCTCGGAAACTAATGCCGGGGAGGATGTCGCCATTAACCAAGACATTGTCCAAACTGCCGCTCAAAAGATGCTACTCCAAGACGCCGAAGAACCCTCCCAAGAAGACATGTGGCTCAATGACGTTATTGAAAATATTCTACAGACACCCCTCTCCTCGACACCCCTCTACGATACGGGCTTTGCGGCATCACAGAAAACCATGGCATCGCCCGAACAGCAGCAACGAGCCTTTGAAGAAAACATGGCCAAAGAAATTGCCATGCTCGTACGATGCAATGAGAGTCCCGAAGACATGCTGGTACAAGCGGGACGAGCCTTGCCCGAATTGACCACACTGCAAAAGACAGACGTGGCACAGCTACTCACTTGGAACGACAAACAAGACAATGCATGGGAACCCACGCCCTTTTTACAAGAGGCAATCGCCACCATGTTCAAGAGGCATGCCACGGCAATCCGCAATAATAATAATGACACTACTACCACTACAACAACCATGGATGCCAAGGCAGTCAGTCGATGGATGACCCAAAGCATGGGGTCCGATTTGGACTCGTATACTACCCGAGGGCGATCCAGGTCGGCCAAAGATCTAGTGGAAGACATGGATCATTCGACACGAACAACGAAAAAGGTGGTCAAGATTGGACCCCATGACAGTCGGGTCCTCAAACTCCTCTCCCAATACTCCAAGTACGGAACGGGAAGACTCAGACTCGAGAACCTACAGCAAGTCTACATGGATGCTTTGACGCGACTGCCCAACGGAATGCCAGTCATTAGTGATGAAGATCACAATCCTTGGAGATTCTGCAATTGCGCAATGCTGATCATATCCGTCAAGTATGGAGGGATTTGAGCAATCATGGCATAGCACCCAATGTCCAGGAGTGGAAGAAGCAACGCGCTCAACTGGAAGCTCAACTTGGAAAGAGCCTTCTGGCAGCCAAAAACGAGCAGCAACAAGGACAAGACTTTGTCGATGAATGTGAAATCTTGGATCTGACCTACTACGAGCCACCTACCACCACGGACACTGATGAACATCACGATGAAAAGAATCACAAGTACATTCGTCAGAGCAGTC